TTTATTAATGCCCAAAATTCAGACAGCTCTGACCACAAATCTTCATAATGTAGACTGTGTGTTAAAGAAGATTACTGCCTCTTTCTTTGGTTATGCTATTAGCTATAAAAGCATTGCTCTGAGTGACAGCGAGGCATGCACAGTAATGCAGTTGCTTTCTAAACTATAAAATTAACATACAGGTGGTTGAACCTGTACACATTTTCCTGAGCCTCCAAAACTGATTTAATACATTCAGTAAACAGAAGGCCAGATATCTCTATAGTTAGTCCACTGATAAGCTGAGAATATGGCTTAGTTATACCACTGAAAGCAACATGAACAGGCTGTATAAAAAGGTTGGAGAAAGTCTTGGAACAGGTTTCTCATGCAGTGCTTACAGATAAATGTAAGCCTCCTTGATTTGTGGGTCTGTTAAAAAATCCTATTGAAAACTTTGAATCATAGAATCATCAAGGGTGAAGGAGACCAAGTTCAACCCAGAACTAGCCCTGCAACCCCAAAACCACTGCTCAGCCCCAGATCCTGACAACTCTTCAACACCTTTAGGGATTGTGACTCTACCAGCTCCCTGGGCACCCTATTCCAACACTTGACCACCCTAACAGAGAGAAAATTTTTTTCTAACATCTAATCTGAATCTCTTCTGTCTGAGCTTAAGGCCATTCCCTCTTATCCTCTCACTACAGACACAGTAGTAGAGACCAGTCCCCACCCTGCTACACTCTCCTCTCAGGGAGTTGTAGTGAGTGAAGAGGTCTCCCCTGAGCCTCCTCTTCTCAAGACTAAACAAACACAGCTCTTCCAGCTGCTCCTCACAAGACAAACTTTCTAGACCTTTAATGAGCTTTGTTACCCTTTGCTGGACATGCTTCAGCATTTCAAATTCCTTTTCAAAGCTAAGGGCCAAAACTGGACAGAGCACTTGAGGTGTGGCCTCACCAGTGCCAAATACAGAGGGACAATCACTGCCACACTATTTCTGATACAGACCAGGATGCCACTGGCCTTCTTGGCCACCTGGGCACACGTTGGCTCTTATTAGCCTGGTTGTCAACCAGCACACCCAAGTTCCTTTCTGCTCTCTTGAGCCACTCTGTCCTCAGCACTGCATGTGGTTGCTGCAACCCAAGTGCAGAACCCATCACTTTGCCTTACTGAACCTTGTGCATTCATCCTTGGCACACTGATCAAGTCTGCAGAGCCTTCCTACCCTTGAGCAGATCAACACTCCCATCCTACCTGGTGTTGTCTGCAAATTTACTCAGGATGCACTCAATCCCCATGTCCAGATCATTAATAATGGTGTTAAACAAGACTGGCCTAAATACTGAGCCCTAGGGACTAGTGACCAGCTGCCAAATAGACCTAGCTCCATTCCTTACCACTCTCTGGGCCTGACAACCAGCCAACTTTTTATCCATTGGAGAGTCCATCCATTCAAGTGCCACACAGCCAGTTTTTCTAGGAGGACGCTGTGGAAGATGGTGTGAAATGCTTTACCGAAGTCTAGATAGACAACATCCACAGCCTTTCCCTCATCTTCTCAGCAGGTCACTTAGTCATATGAGATCAGATCAGTCAAGCAGGACCTGCCTTTCTTCAATCTATGTTGTCTGGGCTTGATCCCTTGGTTGTCCTGCATGTGCCATGTAATGGCACCCAGGATGATCTCTTCCAGAGCCTTGCCCAGAGCTGAGGTCAGGCTGACAGGCCTGTAGATTCTCAGATCATCCTTCCAACCATTCTTGTAGATGGGTGTTACCTCTTCTAATCTCCAGTCAGCTGAAACCTCCAATTAAGCAGGACTGCTGATAGACGATTTAAAATGTTTTGGCAAATTTAGAGAATTCACAAAATCACTGGGTTGGAAGAGACCTTCAAGATCATTGAGTCCAACCCATGCCCTAGCACCTCAACTAAACTATGGCACTGAGTGCCAGTCTTTTTTTAAACACATCAGGGAAGGTGACTCCACCACTTCCCTGGGCAGACCATTCCAGAACTTTATCACTCCTTCCATGAAAAACTTATTCCTAATATCCACCTATATTTCCCTTGGTGCAGCTTGAGACTGTGACCTCTCATTCTGTCAGTTGCTGCCTGGAGAAAGAGACAAACCCCCACCTGACTACAACCACCTTTCAGGAAGTTGTAGAGAATGATAAGGTCACCCCTGAGTCTCCTTTTCTCCAGGCTGAACACCCCCAGCTCCCTCAGCTCTTCCTCACAGGGTTTGTGTTCCAAGCCCCTCACCAGCCTTGTTGCCCTGCTCTGGATGCACTCAAGCATCTCAACATCCTTCCCAAACTGAGGGGACCAGAACTGGACACAGCACTCAACGTGCAGCCTCACCAGTGCCAGTGAGTACTTTTGCCAGTTCCCTCATTACTCTGGGGTGGATCCCATCGGGACCCATAGCCCTGTGAGTGTCTAACTGGCACAGCAGGTCACTAACCATCTTGTCCTGGACTATGGGGACTTCACTCATCTGTCCATCAACAACTTCCATCTCAGGGAGCTGGGTATCCTGAGGACAACTGATCCTGATATTGAAGACCGAGGCAAAGAAGGCATTAAGTACCTCTGCCTTTTCCTCAACCCCTGTCACTACACCACCCTCTGGAGTCAACTAATGGTGGAGACACTCCTTGACCGCCCCCCCACTTTGCTGTCAGTGTATTTATAGAAACTTTTTTGTTGTCTAAATGTAGTGGCCAATGCAAGTTATAGTTGGGTTTTGTCCCTTTCAATCTTCTTCCTACATGACCTTGTGATGTCCTTACAGTCCTCCCAAGTTACCTGACCATCCTTCCAGAAGTGATATATTCTCATTTTCCCCCCTAAGTTCCAGCTTAAGTTCTCTGTTAACCATGCTGGTCTTTTCCCCCGACAACTTGTCTTTCCACACATAGGGACAGTCTGTTCCTGAATATTGAACAATTCATGCTTGCAGCACATCCAGCCTCCCTGGACTCCTCTGGCCTTCAGGACTGACTCCCAAGGCACTTGGTCAATCAATGTTCTAAACAGGCCAAAGTCTTTTCACCAAAGTCCAAGGCAGAAGTTTTGCTGCTGCCCTTCCTTACTTCACCCAGCACAGAAAACCCTAATAGTTTGTGGTAACTCTGCCCAAGATGGCCACTGACCATCACACCACCACCAGTCTTTCTTTGCCCACAAGCAACAGGTCTCCTCCTCTGTTAAGCTCATTTATCAGTTGTGTTAGTTAGAAAGCTGTCTTCCACACATTCCAGGAACCCCCTAGGCTGCTTCCTCTCTGCTGTATTTCCAGCAGACATCTCTTAGGTTGAAGTCACCAATGAGCACAAAGGCTGTGACTGTGACACCTCTGCCAGCTACTCGTAGAACGCCTCATTAGCCTGTTCCTGGCTGGGTGGCCTCTAACAGACTTGCACCAAGATGTCAGCCCTGCTGACCCTCCCTGTGATCCTTAGCCAGAGGATCAACCTTGTCATCTCCATCAATTTCAATACAATCAGAACACACCCTATTGTACAGTGCTATCCAACCACCTCTCCTGCTTCACCTGTCTCTTCTAAAGAGCTTATCTCCAGCCATTGCAGCACTCCCATAAGGTGAGTCATCCCACCATTTTTCTGTGATGGTGACATGAAAACTTTCCTGCTGAACAGCAGCTTCCAGCTCCTCCTGCTTGCTGCTCACACTGTGTGTTGGTAGAGATGCACTTTAGCTAGGTCAATGGTTTTGCCTGCACCACAGACCTGCCACCCTAGGTTCATCTCTAGTGATCCTCCACTTTCTGAGGTGCATTTGACTGGTACATTTGCCTCAGGGGAGGTGGAGAATAGCTCTATCAGTCAATCTCTTCCTCAGATGCTCTAATGCCCCCTAACCCTGCCACCCCCCTCCTTTGAGTTGTACTGCTAAGCAGAGCAGATCACTGACCTACTCACACTCACAGGGGTGTTCTGTTACCCTCTGATGCCAGTGCTAGGCTCTGGCACTCCCTGAAGCCTGCTTGAGCACTAGCACAGATGTCTGAAGCCCAAGTGACTCTGCAAATATTCATCTCTTGTGCATATCAAGTAGTCTTAAACCTGCCACAAAAAAATTAAGAACACACTAAGTATCTATATATATAGACATTGAGTACCAAATGAACTGGTCTTATGCTTAAAAGATCCTGTAGAAATACCTGATACTTTCACATATAAAAGCTTCAAATTTTTAAGTAAGAAGCAAACTTAAAAAAAACATTCCCACAAACTCGAAGTTATTCCCACATCTGTTTAAAGGATTTTAAGTTATTCTACTACCTTGGGCTTTAGTATTAGTCTTTTAAGTGTGTTATCAGCCTTGAAAATGAGAAGAAGCTCTAAAGCAACAGTCAACCTCACCCAAAGCTGTTACACAGCAGAAGAATTACATTTTAAAGTGCTTGCTTTCCACCTTTGAAATAAGACCTTCTACAGAATACAAACAAACCAAATCTTGTTAATTTCTATTACTGACTTACTAATTCTACTATTCACTTTCCCCCAGATTAAGTACATCTCAAATGGTCACATTTGCTTTTTTGTTTCAAACAGGGATACTGAAATAGTTTTTTCTTCGTGGTCCATAATAGTCTGTGTCTTTTTAAAAGGCTGTAGCTTTCAGTCTTGAAAGATTCCTGTAAGTGGTACAGTAAAGAAAGAATAAATCAAGTCTACTTTCCCTTTTCTATAAAAACATCAACTAAAAATATATCTTCCAATTACTGGTTTTAATGACCAGTATACCCTCTGGAAAAAAATCTTCTGTTTGTTTTTATGGCCCCAAAGGAAATACAGTTGTAATTTAGACTTCAAAAAAACTCAAGTAAATCAGAAATTATATAAAGTTTACCAATCATTCAAAGAGTTTACCAGAAGCCAGTATTTGAAGAAAATGCTTTCTGAGCTTAGTACTATTTAGATAACTGTAACTTCCCTAGGTTTTCTTTTTACACTCTGTGGAAAATGATGGGAGCCAAGTACATTCTATAGAGATCAAAAAGTCTCAGTTTATTCCAATTATGCATGTACAATTAGACCTGTTATAATGAAGCTCATACATATTGCAAAAGCTAAGCTCCTTATTGGTGTATCTAAAGGGGTCAACCCCGCCTTTGGGAACTTTCTATGCTTGCTTTGTTTCCCCTTGGGGACTTTCCATGTCTGATTATGCTTATCTTTTTGCTGTCTGTTCTGCTGCTAGGAACTAGCTTACCCAAGGACATGATATTGTTGCTACATATCCACTATTGCTACACTAACTGCAATTTTCAGCTATTGCTTCACTAACTGCAGGTAGTCATGGCCTCTCTCCTGCAGCCACTCATCCACAAAACTCTCTAGTCGTGTCAAAGGACGGAAATTTGACTTCCTGCTTCCCTCTGTAGTAGTCAATCTGCAGTCCTTCTGCAGCCCCTTCAGCAGCTCCATTAACTCCCGTTTTTCCAGCTCTGCCTGCTCCAGCTCCTGACGGTGCCGTCTCTCCGCAGCCACCAGAGACCGTACATCTGACATCATTCGTGACATCTGACTCTGAAATGCAAATACAAATTTACTGCAAGAAACAAACCCTCTTCTAATGACGGTGCAGTGAAGTCGAACTGGCCATGCACATAGGGTGATGGAGTCTTCAGAATAAAAACCACCAAAATAATTTTTTGATAGTGCAATAAATGTAAACAATTTGAGACACAATCCAGCATTCACCCTGTGGGATGGTCTTGTTCTAAAGATTCCAGTATGTTTTTCAAAAATATTTTGTTTTTGTATTTTGTTTCTTACAAAGTATGATAAGAAACAGCCAATTTACTCACTTGCTACTTTTATTTTCTATTTTAAGAATCCAAACAAAAGATGGTTGTGGTTTTGTTCAGATACACTCTTCAAGGATTTAACTTAAAATCCAGTAAAAATAAAAATGTAAATTATAAAGTTTTAAAAAACTTTATAAAGCTTTTCAAAACTATTGTTTTAAAAATCACCGTTCTGTGATATAATAAAAAGATGACGAATAAAAGGATAAGACAGCTTTGCTTTTTACTTGATGAAGTTTACTGCGAACCTTTCTAACCTTCTGACCACAGTGTAAATACCACTGCTGGCAACAGGGCTCTGTGCCAGCTCTGGACTAAGCCACTTTGAATAGCAATTAAAAATGGAGCTGGATGTTTAATTACATCCAGTTTGTGATGTATACTCTATATTTAGACACTGAAATCAGTTTCAGATTGATCTGTTGACAGTGTTACACATGAACAGAACATGGATGGAGCACCCAGCTGAGCTCCAGTGAACCTGAAGCAGATAAGCCATAGGAATACAGCATCCAGCCTGCTTCTCCACAGAGCTAACCTGGCAAAGCTTTGATGGCTTTGCTTCCCATACTTAATGCCATCTTCCTCTGTATGAGACTTTATTTACAAAATAAGAAACTGCTACAGGGAAAAGCAAAAAGCTAGACTGTTAAAGAGAGGAAAAAAAAAAAAAAAAAAGGATTGTATTTACCTTTAGTTCTTCAATTTCATTTTGCAGAATACTCTCTTTTTGGACCATATGCCTTCTCTGTGAATCTAACCTTGACTCCATCTCATGTTTTGCCTCCTCCACTCTGCAGATAATTTCTGACCTAAAAAGTTTATTTCTCCTTGTTACATCTTGTAAGCAGAGAAAAGAATGATCTTCAAAATCCAGAAAACCTTCTTGCAGCCAAACAATCTGAAGTGATTCCCACCAAGCTCTACAGGATGTTTCTGTAGAGGCATGATTTATTAATTTAAAATTAAAAAAAACAATAGCATAAAGAAGTGCATTGTGTCCAGGGGCATTAAAGTTCCCATGAGGAACCTATAGAAGGACAATCATATACTATTTCTCAAATAATTCCAAGAGCTCAAGAAGGTGTATTTATGACTTTATGTATTTATGACTTTTCTGCTGTTTGCCTACAGTATGTGCTTGCTGAGTGTTACGAACTAGAGGCAGCCAAGATAAAATGTCTGAATCCTGTAGTACTGCTCAATACTCTTTTTCAATCTAAAGGATTCCATGATTCTGTGTAATCTTCACTTTTATGGTGTACTCTAAATGAGAGTGTGCAGTAAACTGTTACAGCCTAGTCACTCACATAGCTCCACAGCCAAAACCAGATGGCACTACATTAACCTTTTGAATTCAGAGACCAGGTAGCAGAATCACTCGTGTCTCAATGCATTTAAACTATATTTGAGTGTAGCTTCACAGCAGTGCTCAAAACCACAACACTTAGGAGCTGACATATACAGATGGGACGGAGCATGAGGGGGAAAAAGAAAATTACAATTAGAATATAATGAAAAGGGAAAGCTACAGAAACATACATAAAAGGAAAACAAGGATGCTGTTAAGAAGAGTCATATTCACTGACTGTTAATCTACCAAATTAAAAAAAAAAAATCAAAATTAGACCTTCAGTGGTTGAATCTACCTGTACCTGCCCAAATAATATTTTTATCTTCTCAATCTGTAAAAACATGAACTAAATACAATTATTAAATAACATGGCTTTGTCTCTGTAACAGGCCAATGGAAAAATGAAATTGCCACCTTCAATAAGGTTGCAGTTCTGTTCAACTGTAAGCAATGGTATTTTAAGATCTATAATAACTTGGAAAAAAAATCCCTACTACAAAAGAATCAAAACAGCAAGAATTTAAATTCTATGCTGACACGTAATAAAATTCTGGCCCCAAGTAATTAACGGATGATTTAACATATACCAGAATCCAGTGCTAGTATTTCAAAGTGCTTCATGCAGTGACTTGAAGCCCAGCCCAACGGAGACACGAGAGAAAGAGAAGCTTGGTACCGAAGCAGCTCCAGCTCGGTCCTTAGCTCGGCCACACAGTTGTGCTGCGTGTCCTCTGCGCTGAGGACGGTGTAGCCGCAGCCGTTGGGGCACTCCCGGCTCCGGTACTCGCACACCGCCAGGTGCCCGTCCAGGTTCCGCCGCTCGATCTGCACGGTACAGCCTCAGCAAGGGGAGCAAGGCAAGACTGTCAGCTACAGCAAAAGCATTCTCAGTCATCCAAACAATCCCTCAAGAGTGACTTCTTTAGGATGCGAAATATGGCAGTTACACACACACAGCTACTAATTCAACGCTCTCAAGATGTCTTATTAAGATACTTAACCACTAACTGAACATACTGAAAGGTTGGAAGGAGGTATTTTCTGTAAAGTCTTCTATTGCTGGTCTGGCATTAAATCAATTTCAGTAATGACAATCCTGATGCCAAGCTAAGACACTAGCAGCTTGCCTGTGCTACCACAATATATGGTAATGACTAGAATTTACAAAGAATACACATGTGTAAAAAAAGTATTATGCTACCAAACTTATAGAAAAGTCCAAAGATGTAGTAAAGAGAGATGTGGGTGAGATGGAATGTAAACTTGTTTCGAGACTATTTGTTGGTCTTGTCCATAATGCGCTAGATCATAATAATAAGTTACAAGATTTATTTATGAACATTTAATAACTCATACAAAGATAGAAATATTTCCACAGAAATTCTAGGATACAAACTTTGCAGTTTGGTAGTAATTAAAAGTAAAATGTAAAGAATCAAAAATAAGCACTATATAAATTATTGCTATATTTAACAATCTAAACTTGAAGTTTGTAGTCTCAACTTATGAAGTCAAATTTAGGAAGTTTGTAGTTTAATTGTTGAGGCTCACTTTCTCGAAATACACATTTGCATTTAATTTGAAGAGAATATCAACTTAAGGAAACTGAAACAATGGAATATTGACACTTCCCAACAAACCATGCCAGAAAATGACAAATGAGTTATCTAGAAGAGCTTTACTAATAAATATAATGATTTGTAATTGAGGTACTCAAAATACACTCCATGTATTCTTGGGAAAGAGTTCAAGAGATGTAAGAGCCTTCACACCCCAGACACCCAGTGTGGTGTAAAAATACAAATCTGTAAAACACTGTAAAATACATAAATCTGTAAAACACTACTGTTTTTGTAGGAAGTAGAACAGGTGAATCAATCATCTGCAGAAATCACTTCTGAGAAAAATTATAACTTCTAGCAGAGCAATTCTAGTACCTTAATAATATCATAATTAATTACAATGGCAGACTCAATGATGCTCTTAACATCATTAATTAGATTTTAACTTTATCTAGGTACAGACAACATTTCAACATTTCAAATTAATTCATCTGAGAAATTTTAACAGTATGTTCCTTTTTAGAAGTATGTTTTTTTCTCAGGAGGTGTAGCCTTGCTTTAATAAAAACCTCAACATGAACAATTCTAACTAGAATTTAGCTAGAATAATTCTTATTTCCAAGATACATTCTTGCTAAAACTATGTCACAGAGTTGGCAGCTGCACATGCACCAGGCAACCAGGTGTTTTATAAATAAATTATGATCCTTAAGTCTTCTGCAGGGGCTACTGCATTCATTCAAACATCAAAACATGCACTCAGAACTGGAAAACAAATTCATAACTTGACAGAAAGCAAAACTAATGCACTATTAAATTTCCATACATTTGAAGTTCATCATATTAATTTTGGTTAGTTTTTGGATAAGAAACAGTTGCTAATCATCATGACTGCCATAAACTGGTACTATATTTTGTTCAAAAACAGTACTTTAACGAGCAGATCCTGCCAAAGCTTTGAATTTCTGTTAGAAAATAAGGACCATTATTGCAGTTCTGTTGATGGGAACATGACAATTGTGTTTGTTTAATATAAAGGATTCAACTTCTTTGTATGTTACTCACCAGCATTGGAGCAAGGTATCTGACTGTACTCACACTCCTTTTCATGCCTGTCTATAGACTCCAGAGAACAAACCATTTCGCAGCCATACTCTCTGTTTCTGCAATGTAGCTGAAGACGGTTTAAATCATTTTTCATATATCTATATGCAAAGAAAAGAATTTGTTCTTAAATCTGGGAACATTATTGAAAAATTTGTATTTTCAGCTTTTGGGAAAAGAAAGCAAGATTGTAATCTCCTAATCACATTTCCTAATCATAATTAGGATTCCTAATCACAATTAGGAAAAATTGTGAGTAAGTAGCTGAATTTATTTCTTTTTTTAAGAATTCAAGTGACCATATCAGAAAAAAAAGCTTGAAAGAAACAATGCTAATGAAAAATTCAGTCTCCAAATCTAAATGCACAAATGAAATCTTTATTTTTGAATAATTTTTAATCATGACCTTTCACTGGCTCAGCTGATATTATCAATAACAAACATCAGGGCCACTCATTTGCCATTTAAATTCTGTTTCTAAACATGCCAGACTATAAAGGACTGCAGTGAGTACAGATTAAAAAAAAATCTAAAAGTTAAACTCTAGTGCTCTGTCGACACTATAGTTAGCTTCCAGATAGTAAAATCTCATGAATGAAAAATTATGTTATAAGCGCTAAGAAAGTTAAATTTACTGTAGCTGGAGACTTTAAATAATAACTGCTAATCTGAGCAAGATTAGATAATGCAGATGTTAAACAACAAGCTGTGTCTACTGTTGAAACTGTTTTGTTCTGACACTAGCAGGGAATTAACCATTTAAAATACAACAGTTTGTTTGGGAAAGACCAACAACAATCATATGGTCCAACTGCCTGACCAGTTACCGAAGGCACTAATGACAACAGCCTGCTTTACATGACAAGGTGGTTCACAACAGACATTCTTATGTCTAAAGATCTTTTTAGAAAGGATTTGAAGGTCAGAAATTTGGTTAATATCTCCAGAAATTGTTAATTACAAGTTAACTGCAGCATCTAAGACTGAAAAGAGGTATAGAGTGTGTAGTGTGTGTAGTGACTGGCATTTGCTTGCTTTCTCTAAATTCAAGTATGGAAAAGTTTTTATGGAATACCTGTAAAGGATATTCAGAACAATATTCAGACAGGTATCTAGAATCAGCATTCAAGACATAAAATGGTGGAGAACAAACTAAGTGTCCTTTCAGTTTTGAAAGCCTAACACCCCAGAAGTTAGTCACAATAAATAGAAAATGCTAATGTTTTCATGTAAGTAGTTGGTGTCTGCCACAGGCACACTGGATAAAGACAGCCTGAGCGACAGTATCGACAGGAGATGAAGCTGTGCAAGCAAAATGGAGAAATCCTAAATTAATGTAATTTCAACACACAGCAAGATTATTGGATACCTGTAGAGAGGTCGTAGCAAAGACACATCAATCACTTGTCTGTCTTCAGGGCAGTTACTGTGATGAACAAGCCACCCATGGATACAGGCACTGCAGAAAGCATGTTCGCAAGGAGCCTGCAGTGGATCTTCTAACACATCTCGGCAGATGGAGCACAACAGCCCCTCGTTAACATAGCCCACAAAGCGCTCAATATCATAACCCATGCTCTCCACACCTTCAACCTATTCAAAAACCACAAACACACAGAAATAAAGCAATCTTTGTGCTGAATCTGTATGGGTAGATCCACAAAGAGGCCTGAAAGCAATTTGAAAAACATGGAGAACTTAATGTGAATAAAGAAGTGAATGTGTGAATACAAACAAACATTTACACACTTCAGAAACTTTCGGATTTAAGCAGGAATTTGAGACTTGTACTACTGGATGTCAGAATCACAATTTTCATAAAGAAATTTCAAACTCTGAAAGCAAAGACTTTGGCAGAGGAGCTGTGCTTCTTCTGAACACATTATTGAATAATTGTAGCAGCCACTGTGAAACAGAGTTTCTATTTACATTAACTCTACCTGAAGCAGAAACATCACAGAAGTTTAAATGCAAATGTTTGCTTTCCATTTTAATACCTTTCATTTAATGCCTAACAAACTTACAAAACGGTTGGTTCTTACCAACAATAGCTGTGGCACTTTTAGCTAGCAAAGAGTGGATTGATGAATTGCACATCACTTAAGATATGGCTTTCATACTGAAAAAAAAGATTCTCTCGTCACTGTAGACCTCCATTCCAGAGGGAACAGCATGAAATCTCCACATGATTAAAGACATACTTAATATTCAGGAAGTAAAAGAAGCCAAAACTTCAGCTAACCCAGAAATCATAAAGAGCTACTGTCTTTTCCTACATGATCTATTATATAAAACTGAGGCATTTTTGAATGGATTTGAAAGCTTTGTGAAGAAGAACTAATGCACAATCTGCCTTCATCTAAATCCTATAATGAAAAACCTTTGGAATTTGCTAAAACTCCACAGAACTAGCTTAAAAGAATCAGTTTTAGGCTGTAAATTGCTCCTTGACATGTAAAGTAACTTCTGTAAACCCAGTGAGACTCATGAAAGAGGTTTTCATTAGTTATGAGGTTTTCTAAATAAAATAGAAGAGGAAGAGATCTTACCTTTGTAGATTTTACTACCTAGATATGTAGTTTGCCCAAATACTTCAGAAAGTTTTCTGATCAGTAAGGCATGTAATGCTTCCTTCAGTTTCTCTTCACTCCTTTATTATGCCTATGAGAAAAATTAGGAAGAGTAAGGCTCAGTAGTGTTTACTAAGTTACTGAGTCTATGTCTAACAAGCCAGCTACTGAATAGATGCTATCCTAACAGCCCATTAAAACCAAGTTTTCCAAAGCAAGCCACTGAAAACCTAAAATTCAACACAGGAAAATTGACTAGATTAATGTGAAAATAATCATCAGTCTCTGTTTCAACTACTACTGATGCAGATATTTATCACAAAACTGAACACTCTGCTGATGATCAATTCTGAAGCCAGTTATCTTCTTAAAACTGAAGACAACAGAATCAGTATTACTGAAAAGTAGCAACTGAAATCTGGTAAAATTATATTCCTTAAAAAGATGGAAGTTCCTTATCTACCTGTTTTTATCCAGCCATGACAGGCAGTTCATTTTTAAAACAAAACCATTACAAGTTTGTTGTATTGGCAGATATAATTGCTGTGTAGAATAACTAGGGTTGCTCACTTAAAACATCATAAAAGATGCCATTATTAAACCCCTTAAGTTATGCCAGAGGACTTAAACAGCATATATAGATTAGATAATATGAACTGTAAGTCTAACACTTTGCTTTGGTTTGGTGAATTCCAGAGGATTCTGCTTTTAGAAAACTTTCAAGGACAGATAAGAGAGCAAAACTATGTACTTCTACTGTCCTAGAGTTTCTGTTCTTCTAGAATTGTGGATGCTGTGAGCTACATTTTGCACAAACACTGCTTAGTCCCTGAGGACTAAGTCTTCAAGACACTCTTCAGCACATTTTAGCAAGTTTGAAGACTAATGGAATGCAGGAAAGAGTATTTTTATCAAATGGGGAACAAAAATTTTACTTGTGCTTAACAGAGAAATGAAGTGCAACAGCAGCAATGTATATATTATACACATATGTTTCTGTATATAAATATATATAGATGTATACAGCCCTAGCCTAACTGAAGTTCAAATGAAGAGCGGATGGGAACTTTGAGACAAAAAATACAATCAAGGGGGATTCTTCAGGACATTTTGAAGACTCATGTTGGATCAGCAAAACACAGTGCTGGAACCTTTCTGGCAATGGATCTGGGACCTATGACAACAGCTGTTACTGAAGTCCCAGACTTCTTCCAGTAGAAGTTTTCTGACCTGATGAACCAGAGATATTTTCTTATCAATTTCAAGAAATGCACCTTAGTCAAGAGATAAGCAGAGGGAGAGCATCTGATGAATGTCATGCATTTCAGCAGTACAAATCACTTTACCCAGTATCTTTACCACAAAATGAGATAATTTTCAGCTTCTGCTTATCTCCAGAAACTTCCCTCTTCTCCATTTGACCTCAAAACTTATTTTCCCAATTCTACAATTCACCAATTGTCACACTCTTTTTGATTGCACCTAGAAATTACATTAGTTTGTTGAGAGATGTCAGTTGCTTGCTTAAGCAAGTAACTTCTAAATAGATTAAGTCACTTATAATTACAATACTCTGTTGATTTAGAATGCTGTTTGCTTATATCTACTTGCTTAGCACGTGTAGCTTGGGTTGCTGGAAGCCTTAGGCTGAAAGCTAAGGAATTTTGCCTAGACATGCTTTTGGCTGGAACTGAGTTAATTTCCTTAGCAATTTTCCCAGTAGCTGCTACAGTGCTTCGCTTTGCCTTTAGAATGAAAAGAATGCTGCCAACACACCAATGTTTTAGTTGTTGCTAAGTAATGTTTATCCTAAAGTCTAGGACTTTAATTTAGTTTCCCATGCTTTACCGGGGAGCAGGTGCACAAGTAGCACAAACCAAAAGATAAGGAGCTGATGGTCATCAGCAGAAACTGCAACTCAGTAACAGTTAATAACATGGACATGGAGAGAGAATCCAATAAGCTGTTTAGAAGAGCCCAGACCAAAAATCACCACTGGACTAAAAGGGCTGTGTGAAGAGCATGTAGGGGAGGGTGCATAAATTGTAAGGGTATCATTGTGCAGGGATTTCTTTGTTTGTAAGAGAAAGCACACAAACTGTGACATGCTATTTGCTCTTTATTGTTTCATGAGTTTTATTTTCCCCCGCAGTTCTGGACAAGTAAAAATCCCCTCCAGAATTCACAGGTATCAAGCAATTTTTCAACAGTTGTCATCCCACATTGTTTGTCAGCAGATGCACATCCAAAACCAGCCCTGAGCTGTGGACTTCACTGCCCTCTAACAGAGATTTGGTGAGGATATGGTAACAGGGAGAATACAGATGGGATGTAGTTCCCAACAACATCATCACATAGCTTGCTAAATGCCTGGCACTAATCAAAGCTATTCCACTGTGAAAGTCAGGACACCAAAATTAAATTAGTGACCTTCACTTTTGCATCTGCAGTAGCTTCTGCATTTTAAAAAATGCTTCTTTTTCATGTGACAAAACAAAGCATAACTGTTTGAAAGTCTGGAGTGAACCACAACAGAACTACAAATGTGCATGGCTAAGAAAGCATTTTCAGAAACGCTAGAGGAACAGTCTATGCAGGATCCAGGGATGAGGTGGCACTGAGACATGACATTTCTTCAGCTTTTATTTTCAGAAATCCTGCTATACAGAAGCAATATTTTAGTGTTTTTTGCCACTCTAACACTGTAAGCCACTTCAAGCCAGCATCAGTGCCCAAAGGGGCAGACTCACCCCTTCAACTGTGACTGTACAAGTGGTTTCTCAGGCACTTGATGCATCACTCTGAGTAACTGACCTGTTTTAAGACTGAATTGGGGGAAAAAAAATAACTTTGGCAGTTTTATTACGATAGCGCTAACCTATGTATCCACAAATTAATATTCTCCCCACCTCCTCCTCTGAATCAGTGAGAACAGTCAATGTGCTCTGTTCCTGAACTGGCTCATGCAACTCACCATATAGACAACCATACCCTGATTTAATTTCTTGTAGATGGCTCAGCAAAAGCTCTAGGGACTGCATAAGCAGGGCATGACCAGGGATAAGAAACTGCAGCCAGGGCAGAAAGGGAAGCAAGGCAGACAGCAGCAGTCTGTGGTCAGTGATGCTGAGAGATGCTACTCCCTCAGCTCAGCTCCCTAGAGCGGTACATTGGGGAGCTGGATGAACATTCATGTAAAAGGAAGAGAGGAGGGTAAGAATAAATGAACAGCAAGAGCACCTTACACTGATGCAAAAACCTGATTTTTTTTTTTTAATATAAAAAATACGAGGCAATTTAAGGCCTCTTCCAGGAACCACGTAACCACTATAGCTATTTTGACAAAGAACATTTTTGTACAACACTTGTCCTGCAAAACCTAGTCAGAACAGAGCCATCCATGACCTGCCTTGCACAGACCAGAGTCCAGAGAAGGGCAATGGAGTTGGTGAAGGATCTGGAGCACAAGTCCTGTGAGAAGGGGCTGAGGGAGCTGGGGTTGTTTAGCCTGCATAAAAAGGCTCAGAGCTTTTGGTCCACCTAAAATGAGACTGCAGCCAGGTGAGGGCTGGTCTCTTCTCCCGGGCAATAAGTGACAGGATGAGAGGCCACTGACACGGGCTGTGCTGGGGGTTGTGTTTCAGCTTGGACAGCAGAAGAATTTCTTCACAGAAAGGGTGGCCAGCCACTGGAATGGGATTGATTATCTCAGAGGTCTTTTCCAACCTAATTAATTCTGTGAGCACCTCAGCCCTCCCTACAAGCACCTTCGAGCACAAGGTGCAGGGCTGGGCTCTGACACCCCGAGCCAAGCCCAGGGTCAGACCTCGGAGCTGTGCGAGGGGGAATTGTGTACAAGGAACAGAGGAAAGGCCACCGGATTCGGCCTGGGAAGGCGCTTCAGGGACGGACAACGATCCTGATCCCAGGGCACAGAGCTGGCCCAGAAAAATCTGGAGAAGCAACCCGACACCAAGGAACAGCACCTGCGCTGGCTCAGGCAGCGACAAACACCCTCACAGCTGCACGCACCCTCACAGCTGCACGCATCCTCACAGCTGCACGCACCCTCACAGCTGCACGCACCCTCACAGCTGCACGCACCCTCACAGCTGCCTTCCCCACACGGCGGCGCTGCTGCCGCCGGCCCGGCACCGGGCCCCAACAACGCTGAGCACAAAGCCGCCCGCCCCGGGCCCGGGCCCGGGCCCGGCCCCGCTGCCCCCACCCGTCCCGCCCGGGCCCCGTCTCGCCCCGGCCCCGTCTCGCCCCGTCCCTCCCGGCCCCGGCCCCGGCCCCGCTGCCCCCGCCCGGGCCCCGCTGCCCCCTCCCCGGCCCCGCTGCCCCCTCCCCGGTCCCGCTGCCTCCTCCCCGGCCCCGCTGCCCCCACCGCCTCCGCCCGGCCCCTCTCGCTCACCCGCCCGCCGCCGCTCGCTGTCGCACAGCCGAGCTTCCCTTTACGGCCGCTCTCGCTTGACGGCGGCGCGACGCAGCCGCTCCGCCATGCTGTGCGCGGCAGAGGCCGCGGACCGGCACTCCGCATGCGCGGGCAGCGCCTCCCGGGGGCGGGAAGGGAAGGCTGGCGGGGCGCAGGCGCGGTGCGGCCGCAGGGCTGCCGGGAGCGCGCGGCGGGACAATTGAGCGCGGAGGCGGGAGCGCAGGTACGGCAGCCGCGGGCCCTGCTGGAAGCGACCCCGGGACAGACCCTACCAATGGCATCGCTTCACCCCCCTGCCGTGGGCAGGGACATCTCTCACTAGATCAGGTTGCTCAGAGCTTCGTTCATCCTGGTCTTGAGCGAGGGGGCATTCACAAGTTCTCTGGGCAGCCTGTTCCAGTGCCTCACCGTCGTCAGAGTGAGGAATTTCTGCCTTACATATAATCTATCCCCGCTACCTCAGATTGAAGCCACCCACCCTTGTCCTACTGCTACATGGCTCTTGTAAAAATTCCTTACAGCTATTTCTGGTTTGAAGCGATTTTTCAGTAATGCTGATGTTCTAGGCGATGCGCTTGCTGCCTGCAGTTTAAGGTGATGCTGTGTCACGTCTCCGCAGTTGCCCACAGCCCCTGTTCTGCCTCTGCATCTGTGCCGGCAGTGCCTGTTCAAACACTCCGGGAGCAGCTGCTCGAGTTTGGGCCGGGGTGGGCATTGTGGCTGCCTTTAGCAGAGCTCCGTGCGCACCGTGTTGAGCTGCATGTGTAAAATCTCGAAACGTTCTTTGTATGCATATTTAATTTTCAATGCAGCTACTAATGTACCCTTAAGGGAGAAAGTACAACCGAATTCAATGCCTGACAAACTGTGAGACGGTTTGGGCTGTGGTTACGTGGTGCGCTGGGTTTGGTCAGGCACGGTTGCTAATAAAAGCCGGAGCAGTGCTTTTTGCATTGCTCGCAGCTGTTTCCCTGCAGCCAGACCTAGCAGTAAGGCAAGGGCATGGTTCCCGGTGTACCGGTGCTGTCTCTCAGGAAAGGGCATATTTGCATATTCTTTCATTTAGTTGTAGTCCGGAGCTGTTCCTTGCCATGCTTCACTCACTCTGATCTTATCTGAAGGACCTGGCATCAGTGGTTTGTTGTACGTCCCTGATGTTCTATTCCTATTAGGTAGTAGTGTAAAGTTAGTAGTGTAAAGTAAATTGTAAGCGTTTTGGTTATTTTTTTTAACATATTAAAAATTCATTATATTTTATGAAAACTTGTATTTTAAAAAACAAAGATGTAATTCTGGCTGCCATATTTAATTTTAAAACCCACAAACCTGTAACAGTCTTTTTACTTACACGTAGGTAATATGGTAACAGTGAAGTTACTGAGTTATCAAAGATAGTGTCTTCAAATGTCTTAGTAATTTTCAGATCTCCTAATGAGTTTGTTTTTATGGTTTTAGACTAAGTGATAGTGCAATGGCCAAATAGATTTGGGAAACAAAGCACTTTAGTCATGGATATGTGCAATTTATGAATTATACAGCTTCTCTGTCCCACAGAACCTCAAGTGCAGTGGGCAGGGTTAATGTAGCACTGCAGCCATGCTATGCACAGTCCTCCTGCAGAATCCTGGGGTGTCCTGTAATGTCTTCCCAAGCATCACTGTGTAGTGTCGGGTTGGGAAGAGAACTTGTTCAGATTCCCATGGCACCTGAAGCTGGCTGTGGTGAGCACTGGTACTTGCAGTCTGCTCCCCCTGAATATTCTTGACACTTTTGCAGTGTTCACAGTGGCTTTTCATGCTACAGATCTTCCTGTTATAATAACCATGCTACTCCCTTATTGCATAGGGTTAACTAAAACTCATTTGCTGTCACTGTTGTCAGGTAAGCCTAACTTAAGTGAACTGCTGCATACACAGAGGCTTCTTTCCTTGTATTTTTAATAACAGCCACAGTGGAAGTGACAACAGTTGAGGCCATTTTGCCCCTGCGATTTATGTCTAGTAACAGCATCATATATATGCTAGTTGTGCAGATATGGGGAGAGAGCAGTACTCCTGCTACCAGTCTCTGCATGTTTGAAAAGTCTTTTGGCAGTGCTCTGTCACTACTTCAGTGCAAACCTTGGAAATAATGGTGGTTGTGCCCCAGGAAGCCACTGGAGTGCAGAGTAGCGCCAAAAAAGGTGCAGAAACACACTTGCAGCAGAATGCAAACATGCTTTTGAGATGTTACAGAAGTTTGATTCTGCAATCTGTATTGCAGTTTATTTTTAACCCAGTTGTTGGTGCAATCATTTAAAATAAACGTGTAAACAGAGAATTAAACCTGTAACTGTAGTGCAAGTTGTGCTTGCCTTCTTCATTTTGGCTGCTGTGTCATTCTGTTGGCATTTTCTTCTTTTGTTTGATTTCTGTCCACTTCTTTGAAGCATTAAGATTATAACTTGTTTTTCTATTGGTTGCAAAAGTAAACTTTGTCATATTAACATTGGTATATGTCTGGTTTTGCCCTAAGATTTTTCTGGGGAATAATGGTCTTATACTTTGAGGGAAAACCTATAATACATTCTTTCCACTGTTCAAGTGGACATAACATGAAGCAATAATATTCACTGTAATTCAGTGATAATTTTCTGCTGAATATTAATCTTATTATGGTGAACCTGAATGACCAATGTAATTGACTGTTTAATGCAAAATGCTGGTCCCAGATATGAGACATACCTTCAAGATTCATTGTTCATTGTGCACTAATAATGGGCTTTTCAAAATTATAGAAGAGTGTATAGAATAGTAAGTTTTGCTTAAAATTGTCTTTCTTTTAATAAAACTGCTGTAAGTTTGCTAAGTAGCCCTATACTGTGTATCTCCAGAGCATTTATTACTGTTGGGAACTCCATTATTGTCTTTTTAAATTAAAATCGAGGTGTTCAGTTGCAGAATTTGCTGTAGTTGATCTTTCTTAGTACTTAAACACAGCATTGCAACGATACTACCTTTTCTTAAATGTTACTATGCTTGTGAATTAATATTGTTATTTTAAGATCTTGTATGCTCTTTTATATTTTGAAATAGTGCTTTTGTTGTCACCTATGGATATATTTTTATATTTAAAGCCTATTCTGACTACAATTGTCTTTATCTGCTTCCTTCTTGTCCACTCTGCAGAGCAGTACAGCTGAATATGAGGCGATCTGCAGCTCCCAGTCAAGTCCTAGGAAATGCTGGCAAAAAGCCAAGGTTTATACCACCAGGAAAATGTACTGCTGTTTGTCTCAAGAATGAAACTAAGGAGATGGACCAAGAAATTAAGTCGAAGGAGGTAAACTGAACAGTGTACTAAAAGTATTTTGTACAGTATTGTGATTAAAAGATAACATCTGAGCTCACTACAAACAATCTCTGTTTAAATAATCTATTCAGAACAAATTTTGACAGCTTTGCTGTAAGTACCTTTGACCTTGCTTCTCAGGTTAGGCTTCTCTCACTGTGGAGTGGTTGCAGAAGAATGTTTTTCAAATAAATAAAATTAATCAGTATTGAGCCCAAATGCAATTCCCAAGTGTAAATGAGGTGGAGATTGCATCTTGTCATGGGCTTTATTGGATTTTTTTGTAAAAGCAGTTAAAAAGCAAGGATGTAAAGTCTCAGTATGCTGAGTTGCAGTTCTGCTGCAAAGGGACTTTCTCTGAAACCTTTAATATTGACACAGAAAAGCAGCACAATTTTTATTTATCTACAGAAGACTTGTATTAAACTAAATTCATAAACTATTTACACAAGTGTTTGGTATTGTGTGCACACACATGTTGTGATGCATATAGTTTTGCAGAGATGTATGTATTTATGTAACAATTTGATAATGAAAATTAATATGTCTTGAAATCCCTTCTTGTTGCTCTTTTCTCTATTCCTCTCCACCTGCATGCAGGAAATGCTATTGTGAACTTATTTCTCTTTTGCAGATAGATGAGAAAGAGGGAGATGCTTCATTGCTATCTAAAATAAGTATCCAGAATCAAAATGAAAATTTTACACGGTCTATGGAGTCAACTGGAAAAATAAAGCCAAAAGCATGTTTCAGCATTGACAAGTGTAGCAAGGCAGAAAAGAAAACACTAACTGTGCCCAAAGCTGGTAAGATGCTCTTTCTTTTTTACTACCATATATCATAAGAGAATTTTGAAGCTTATGAATGATAGACTGTATATACTAAATTTTTGTGAAGTGCTATTATAAGCATTGTGCAGCGTTATAAGCATTTTTCGGTGTTATACTGGATAGAG